GTTCAGGTGCGTTCCAGTTAACTCAGCAGTTATCTTGGTTTCTGAGCTCAGAACGGTTTCAAAAGGTTAATCAAAACAAGGCTTTAAAGTCTGGAGGTAGAGAACTCAGCAATATCGGCTTTCAGCAACATTGGATCAGTCCCTCTGTTATTAAACATATCCAATGAAGACCAACCCGATCAGAAGGAGGGTCAAAGGGCACGCCGCTTTGGTCAAAGTGGAGCGAAACCAGAAGCCGTTTCTCACTCACCAGCTGAAACTCACGGCGGCGGTCGTAGGCGTTCTGGATGCCTTGGTCGGCCCACAGAGCGCGGATAGATGGCAGGTAGTGCTGGAACACTTTGGGCTGAACCATCCCCCGACCATGGGCCACCGCGGAACGGGTATCGAACGCCATCATGTTGTCTCCGTGCTGCTGGTTGGACGGGTTCCCCCATGGGATGTGGAGCTTTTCCCGTGCATCCACCAGCACCCGGATACCTGCAGGGATGGAGAAAAGGTTCATAAACACCATGAGGAGAAAGATTCCTGACGAACTGAACGGGAGGCGAGCTCCGCCTTCTGAGGGCGGCGTGCTTTTCAGCAGCACAGCTGTTAGAGAAGCAGGGCTTCATGCGGCAGAGTCAGGGTGCGGGCTGCACGCAAACCTTCATCTGAACCCATCAGGACCGAACCGACCGCCTGTTGTTGTTTCCACTGCTCACGCTGCGGCGGAAGCTAACAGGGAGAGGACTACTTCCTGGACGCAGCCTAAACCAACCTGAAGGAGGAGTTTAGCTTTCTATGGTTTTCTATGTTGTTTAGTGAAATTATTATTAGTTCAAAGTTGAATACTTTTGCTGATCTTTAAATAAATAACCACAGCAGAAGGAAACTGGTTAGCAGCACAGAGGGACTGATGATGCCACTGTGGTCTGGATGAGGGTCAGCGGGTGTTGGCAGGTCGATACGCCCCCAAAAACCAGGTCAGTCTGACTGGGGTGGGGTGGGGGCAGCCTAAATAGAATGGTGTCGCTGGTTCTAAACAGGAAGTGGTTTTATTTTTCAGCACCATGTTGTGCGTCAGCCTCCACTGGCTCCATCATTCAGGACTTCATTAAGGGCTGCAACTAATTATTGATTATTGAAATAATTGCCAACTAATTTACTAATCAATTAAACGTTAGCTGCAGCATAGCGACTGTAAAACCTGCTTAGAGCAGGAATTAGAAAATAATATATAAACATTTTGCCTCTATCTACTCTATAATCCTGAAGTTTTACTTTCACTTGGTTTAAATTGGTAAAAAGTCTCCTTTAAGGAAACTTTTGTTATCTGATTATTAATTGATTAATTCAAAATTAAAATCATTAACTATTACTTTATAAGAAAGGGAAGGTCTTTAAGGTCTGAATCATCATCATCATCAGGTTCCCTCCTCTTCCTCTCATGTTCTGATGTTAAACTATTAATATTATTGCTGTTTAACGCTGGTCTGCGTCTTTGATGTGGAAGCGGCGTGACGGATGGAACCAAAGCCAAGTTTACTGTCGATGCTTCAAACTGGCCAAAACAATAAATCACTTCCTGTTATTGTCCATGTGACCGCGCTCAGAAACGTTCTTCCCCTTTTCAGCAAATGGAGAAGAAAACGTCCTCCAGCATGAAGCCACAGACTGACAGGTGCTGGGGGCCCCGGGCCCCGGCCGGCAGCCTTCAGCGTCTCTCAGGCTTCTCTCCTTTCTGCAGAAAATAACCCAAAATCCTTTAATAACTAAACCATAATCAGGACTGGATCAGCACAGCTGCTGTTTCCTCATAGATTCAGAGCAGAGCCTGGATTAGACGGATCAATCAATCATTATTGGACAGGAACCAGCAGCCTGGTTCATCATCTGAGTCATCAATGCTGTAAATGTTTACTGACCTTCTGGGGACCTATTGAGCTCCGCCCCATTCATGATGTCACGGGCTCAGAGGTACGGGGGTCAGGAACACGGTAACAGTTGGAGCAAACACCGAGAACTAAGATGGAGGACAGTCAGAGGAAAGAACCTTCACTGCTGATCCTGACAGACATCAGACTCAGTCCTGATGACCCCCCACCGCCCTGATGAGCCCCCACCGCCCTGATGAAGCCCCCGCCGCCCTGATGACGCCCCCACCACCCTGATGACGCCCCCACCACCCTGATGAC